CTGCGGTCCGGACGGCTCTTAAGATGGCGCATCGATCCTGTCGCGTGACGTTTCGTCGGCTGCGATATCTCGTGCGCGCACAAAACGACGTCTCATCGCGGAGGATCATTGTTACGACTCGGGATCGGCGCGAACGCGCAGAAACGGGAAAACGGGGCTCGGGAACGATGCGCCATCACATCGTCGTATAGCCAGGCGTGCCAGCGCTTGGGTGAATCCGAAAGTGACGTGACGTCACACACACCCGCCCGCCCGTCCGAAGCCGGCTTTGCCCTCCTCTCGGCTCGTCTCGCCTCTGCGGCGGATTAACGCGTTGAATGGTAAATATCGACATGACAATAATTGCACGCACACCGTCGGGCATGAATTAACATCACCGGACGACGAATCGCAACTGCGCGTCGACGATCGACGTCATCGCAACCTAGACGTTTCGTCGTGTCTTTTTTCTCGTCGCTAGTAATCCGTTTCTCTCTTTCTCTCTCTAGCTTTAGCTATTGCGGATATATTGTTACGTGCTCGAGTTGTCCAAACGCTCTTAATAATTTATCATTTTCTTGATTATACATGTTATGAGAAAAAAAATTGCGGTTTAATGGAAAATGTGTACTTGCGGTATAAACATTCTTATTATTCATACGCATAATTTTTATACGATTTTTAATATTTAATTATGTTTAATGTTCAGTTTAATATTCTTGAGTATAATTGAATTTGCGTATTTGTTTATACCCCGCTAGTGTATTATATTATTTTCCTGTAGTTTTATTTATTATATTATTTTGGGCTTATTTGATATTATAGGGATTAAAAAAATTGTTAGTGTTATATTGCGTTTCAAGTACGATTCCTTCGTCAGTGTCCTGGCAGTTCTTATATGTATAAGTCTGAAAATGACAGCATTGCTAGTCATGAATTTGCGTAATGCCGATAAGAACGGCCTCGAATTAACGTCTCTTGATTACGTTAAACGCTCATTTCGTCTTTCGCGCACAGAAACAATTTAAGCTACTGAGTAGTAACAGCAGGTTTAATGTATCATATTCGAAGAAAGACATAGTAATAGTAATTATATAAGTGACAACTATATAAACTTATATGTAAACTGATGTACATAGTTGAATAAATTATTTTATATAAAATAGACAGTTTATTTAACTCTCTACGTACATTAATTTTACATAGTATGGTATATATACTTAGTATATAGTTGAATAGTTGTCACTACTACACTATGTTTTTCTTTAAGTGTACAATATATAATTAACCATTTTTATAACTTACCAGCTTTTTTATTTATTAACTTTAACTTTAATAAATTTGTTAACAAAATTTGTTTCGTTAGATCACTAAATGAAAGTTAACAGAATGTGATTATAATATTATATTTTTACAGTTTCTCACTATGCTTGAAAACATTTAACATTTATTTAACATTTTTGTAAATTCAATCATGCCTTTCAATCTCCGAATGACATAAAAAGATATTTGAAAAATAGAAATAACTTAATTTGCATTTAAAAAGCTCCAATATGTTTTTCTATTGAAATAAACGAATGTGATAAACAATGCATGCAAAAGTCGCGTATTGAAATGCGTTGGTTACATTACAAACTGCAGAAATAGGACACAAAACCACAAGTGGCATTGATAACAGAAGCGCAGGTTTCATAATCCGATTATTTTGCAGTAGGTGGTTTGCATTCGTGCCGTAAAAAGCAGGAAACTCGAAATGACACTGATTACCTACGCAGTAATCATTAAAAAGTACGATGCATCTTTTCTCTTGATCTTAACGTGCTCACGCGACTCAGTGGCAAAAATTATGGGGACCACGATTTGAAACAACAAACACATCTAAAATAAAAATTGATGAGTTTCTTAAAATTACGCATGAAATATTTTTTATAAAATCACGTACATGTACTTTTCTTTGATTATCTTGATTATTATGTGTTATTATATAATGCATTAAGGAACTTAGTCATATAAGAAAGTGTCTTTCGATTGAATTATATAATACGACTTATAGAATATTTTTTAAATTGTACGAAGCTTCGTAGATTTGCGATTATCTGCTGCAGATACTTATGCAAGCACGGGACGAAGAAAATCAATAATTACTTCTCATCTTTCCTTGAAGGTGCTGCACACTACAAACCACAAACGTAGTGCAGTCACAACTCGTTTTCGTATTCTATTCCATGCAAAATATCTTTGTTGAATTTTTCTTTAAATGATTCAGTAATAAAGGGATTAATAAAATGAGGATTGTTGGTACAAAATAGAATGTTGAAATAAAAATGAATGAATTATTATTACATCAAGGTATTATTTAACTCATGTAATTCGATTTATTATTTCAAGTCTATTTGTAACTACATATTTCATTACTTGTTTCATTTGTGATAATTTCTTTGTTAAAACTCTTTATGTCAATTATAATGGAAACAGAGTATTAAGATATGAATGTACAAAATTACACGAACTATGAATTATAATAAACCAACATTTTGTAGCACACTAATAATGTAGCTTTAAAAAAAGGATGAAATTGGAAATTAACTAACAGAAAATGTGATTATCTATTAGCGAAATGTTAAAGTCAACAGAGATTAAAATCGTTACACAAGAACAATACGAGAGAGAAAGCATACGCGGGAAATGATAACAAAAGCCACTTATCAATCACGTTTAACAACCAAGGATTACAGGTCATAGAGACGTTAATTCGAATTCCGCGGAATGTGTTCGTTACTTTGAAATCATTTCATTTGGTTATTAGTCATTGCGAACAAAACGAACTCTCTCTTTTTAGTTACCCTTTTTTTGTAATTATTATATATATAAAAGAGTTTTTAGATTCTATTTTATTCACGAGTATGCCTTCCAACAAGCAACACAGATGACACGGTGTGACACAATGAATCGTCATATCCTTTGCTAATGTTAAACAAAGATGAGATGATCACAGTGTTGTACTGTGTCGCTTGTTGAAAGGCACATAATATCAACTATCATAAGCTTAATTAATTTACGTGTGTATATACAGGGTGTTTCCAAATTAAATGGCAAAACTTCGGGAGCGTGTAGAGGAGTAAAAAACTAAGAAAAAAAGTCCTATAGACATATGCTCCTTTTTGCTTTGTTTCGCAGGAAATCACGAAAAAAGAAAAAAATATATTTAATTTATTATTTTAATTATTTTATTTATAAACTTTTTAATGAAGATTTTGTTCGAAATGTGCACCTCTTGCAGCAATACAAGCATTGCATCTGTCAAACACGGCTCTTGTAGCAGCCAGGCACTGTTCTTGCGATATTCTGTTCGCTGCAGCTACGATACGATTTCTCAAATGTTGCTCTGATTGAATAGGCGAAGAATAAACTTCTT